TAAATATACATGTAAGAGAGGTATACATGTAAACATAATACATATGGTGTTTTTAAGGCTACACTGATCAGTTGAACTGATAAGAAAGTGGAGAGGGTGCCATTCCATTCAAATTCTAATATAAAAATTGTAATAGAAAATATATAAAAACAGGACAAAATGGTGAGTGGGTGGTCAAGTGCATAGCAAAGGGAGAATCTGGGTCAAAATTGCACGATGGGTCTCGCATATCAATACGTAGTTCATAGCAGCACAAGGTTACAATGCCACAACAAGCTTTTAACCACTCTCCTGCTTCTTATTTGCTGTCAAAAATTGGGCAATCTAGCGTAATGAAAAGCAAGCATCGTAGCAATCAAGCCAAGGTTAATTCAATTACTTTAATGGGAAAAACCATGTTCTTGTGTCGATGTTTCACTCGAAATCGATAAAAAAACTTCACGGCTGATTTTCTACATGATTAAGAATAATAATGAATGTGTGGATATAAATGTATATAGAGGCCTGCACATGTCCCTTGCATATGATTTATTAACCAATCAGGAAAAAAGGAATAAATTATAACAGGAAAGGAAGTACAGGTGAGTAGTAATTTTCTAGTCCTGCACAAGCATGATCAAATCAAATAACGATATTGGTATTTCTTCAAATCAAATGGTAAACAAGAATCACATTTCATTGTGAGCAAATATTGGATTCAGCAGATAAGTGAAGTACATGGCTAACCATCTATGAAACTATAAACAAAAACACAAGAGAAAACCTATGACAGACAAAGAAAAGCAGTCATAAAATATGGTTGCCAACATGGATTCAGATGACTTGGCTCAAGGTCACTGTAATCGTCATCATTTATTTGGAAAGCACAACAAAATATTTGTATGTAATCAGCTGTCAATCAATGATGTCACAGGAGTTTGTAAAACGAATGTAGGCCTACTAAATGTACATGTACTTATTAATATTCAATGCATATTAAATGCACATTAAATTGTTGTTAGTTTTATGAACATAAACATACATGTACAGGTGGTACAACGAAAAAAATACACGGTGGCGACGGGCGATTCGCCCTCTAAACCTCTGAAATCGCCACGGTAAAAATCAAGACGAGGGCGAAAAAAAATCAATATATCTTGAAAAATCGCCCCCGCCATAAATTGATATTCCCTATGAATTAATAAACCAATTTATTGATGTGTCTGAGTGAAATCTCCGTTCCAACTACCAACTCCAAAACTAGAAACTTCCATCAACATTTTAAAAGTTTTGTGAGTTGCAGCGGATCGGCGGTCGTACCTACTGTAGCTAGATCTACAGCGGTATCCGCCTGCCTGCGCCTAAGCTCCCGGCGGCCGGACAGGCCACCGGCCCCGATGTAGTTTCGTGCACAGCATGAATGCATACGCAGTTCGCACACGTTCACAATACACAGAAACGTACTAGCTCAGCTCCAGCGCGCGCCCGCACGCTCCTTGTATGAAGCAAATAAGTATTTGCGAGTGACGAGAGCTCAACTGCTAGCGACCAAATTGGTACGTAATATGTTTATTTAGTCTTTTTTCTGGCCCTAATTTTTATCATGGACAATGCAATCCCATTAAAAAAAATGTTATTCCGTCTAAAATTGTGTTATTTATAAGTTAAAACCATTAAATGCGAGTATATTTTTACTGTTGTCCCACATACTGATATATTTGTAATAACGAAACGTGCAAAATCAATGCCGGATTTTTTCCTGTAAAATCGGTATAAAGCAAGTTTCGTACACAGAAATTGAATTTTGTTATAAAAAAACCGTAAATAAATATATAAAGGATGTTCCTACTCCTCAGAATCTTTCTCACAACTGTTTAATTAAATTAAATTATTTATATACGATCGATGCCAGGCCAATTGTCATGAGTGATGATGACATCAATTTCTGTCTACGAAATGAAACTAGCTTTGGCTTGGCCTTTAGAATTAGAGTCTATAAAAAAAAAAATAAGGCCATGATTTTGCATGTTTCGGCATAACAAATAGACCCTACATCGGTATGTGGGACAACAGTAAAAATATTTACTCACATTTAATGGTTATAAATGGTCTAAATAACACAATTTTAAAGGGAGTTGGTCTACATTTTTTTTTAATGGGATTGCATTGTCCATGATAACAATTAAATTTGGGACAAAAAAAAAGACTAAATAACATATTACCTACCAATTTGGTTGCTAGTAGTATGATGGCTAAGGAAAAACACAACTTATTGTTACAGCTTACAATATGGCTTTAAGGAAGTAGCCCCTTGGTTTTTTTTTTAGGCAATGGGGAAAAGTAGCCCCCATAAAAAAATTAATTCCTAGCCCGCGTGTCAGTGATAATATTTTCTTAGGATATGAAAAACGAACAGTTAAACAAAACACTCCTTTTGACAAGTTTTAGTTACATGTATATGTAAATCATAAAGCCACACGTTTAACACAAAGTGAATAAATCATGGGTATCTGAATGTCTGCAATACTCACATGACATATGTACGCTACAATTGTATCTATATTTGCCTTTGCTTGGAATTTAATTAGGTAAAACCGCGTTTAAAAAAAATACAACCTTTAAAAAAAAAAAGCCCCCCTGAGCTCCAAAATAGCCACCGCAAAATAATTAAGGGGGGCTATTTTTTTAAGGGAAAATCTGAAAAGAGCCCTCGTAAAAAAAAAAGTAATTTTTTGGTTGAGGTGGTAGTACAAGAATTGCATTAGTTAGCAAAACTGGAAATAAAATCTACCCTCTGATATCATAGTATTGTCTTAATTCCTAATTTCCTATCATACAATTTACCTACCAATTATCAGTTTACCACCTCTATTTAGTTATCTTCTAGTTATGTAATATGTTCATAAAGATTAAAGGGAAAACATATTCAATCACATGAGTCCCTTATCACAACTGACAGCTTTAAGAGCATGTAAGACAATAGACTACAAGCTTCATTTCCTTTGATAACAATACAAGCTAATAATAACTTCATGTAGGACCTTTAAAAAGCCTACATCCTTTAACCCCTAATTGAACAGAACATAACTGCTGAAAGTTATATAGTTATTATAAAATCACCAGGACAGTCAATATTTATGAAGAGAGCTTCTGAAATGTAGAATTTGCTTTCACTTTCAAATTCACAACATATCCTGTACTCACAAGCAGGATAATTATACACAGGAGAATCGTCTACAAACCATAACACTTACAGGATGTGTTTCAGTTAAAGAGAGATAAATCTAAATGACTGTTTGAACCACAAACAAATAACCAGCAAAGTATTCAGCCAAGCTAATGATTTCTAGTATTTACTCATCACATGTCCATACTAAGAAAAACAAATGCCTTTTGCAGTTTTCACTTAGACATTACTAGACACACCAAAAATTGAGCATATGAAATTAGCATTTATCTTCTCTTTCAACTCTTATGTTGTTACATGTGTTTCTTTCCAGACTGCCATTGTGCTCCCAATGCGACCCTTTAAAAATATCTCGAGGCCAAAGGTCATTTGGGGAGACCTATAACATGTCCCCTCAAAATTCCAACAGAGCAATTCATATACTGCCTTTACCCTGCCTGAAAGGATTTGCACAAAGCAGCATATAAATGCTATAAACACTTGCCCTCTAAAATATGCCACATTCCATGGGCTACACATCACTATTCCATGCTTTGAAAGTACTTGTTTACAGCAACCTTACAATGTTGTGTAGATATTCCATGATTCTGCTCAGATTACCTGTTTGTCTTAATATAGTCTTATACTTGATAGAGGTTTGCACGTAGGTTTGCACGTAGAACAATGTACTAGGACACATTGTGCAATGTCAAAGAGTATACTAAAGGCTACATTGCAAGGATCACAGATGAGGCATCAACTGACAATCATGTTCTGAAGATGCCTTCAGTTGTGTTCATACAGGCACTGATTTGTTTATCCAGACGTTCAAGCATACAGAAATAATCCTGATATCACTGGGACAGAGAAAATTAATCTTTTGAGAAATATCATCACATATCACCTGAACAACAAGTATAAGAAACTTGAAATTCAAGCCATGGGTCTAATATTTTGAACACTGCAAATAATTGTAGTTCATTTGGAAAGACACATTTTGTTGCTCAAAATAATTCCTCTACCTTTTCACAGCAAATAAAATTGACTTCAGCAGTTTCTTTTGTTCAAAACCAGAGCTGGGACATACATTTCTAAGATATAGTAAAGGCGCTGAGGTGTGTTTGGAAAGACGAATAGAAATTTGAAACTGCAAACACAAATATTTCTCTCTCTCTCCAGACAGATTAAACTCTCCAGAGATGTAATTAATGATGGAATGAACGCGGCCTTCCACACACACATTACAAATAGGAGTAGTATCTTGTGGCACTCTCTCGGTAGGATTAACGCACACTATTCTTCATTAAGTTCTTTAATTAGAGTTGAATAATCCCATGTGTCTCATCAGGAGGGTAGAGATGCAGGAAACCTAAAGTCATTCATGAATTCAATGCACTAGGTCCTAGTCAAATTCCTTTACCTCATGTAGTAGACTATACATGTTCTATTACTTCACGTTCTTACGATGAGACAGATTTCATCTGTGAGGGCAAGAAGGGTATTCACTCTGTATTAATAAGAGTTATTCGCTCTGGCTTTAAGCAGTTGACAGGAATTCTAGCTAAACATATTTGATACATACCATGAGCTTAATAAGTTTAGACCTTGATAGAATGAAACATAGGCCTACATATTACATTTAAGCCTATTTTTCAATTTAATATCTAGTCATCTAATATTTTCTTACTACAGACCTATCTCTTTTCATTATAAATCAAATGTAAACATCCCTGCAAATGAATAGCTTGACCTGGATAATATTTCAAACAAATATGCACTTTATGCCATACTTGTTGTAAGTGAGATTCTAAGATGGAAGACAATTCATACGATGGAAGAGTGATTCACTATCGGCCAGGCACTGTCCCTAGTGTGGCAGCGCTCTTATACATGTAGTAACATTCCTGACATTAAACCGGACCTGACTCATCCGTGTCAGGTTCGCAGATCTAATTCCCCCGTCCCTTTTTGCAAAATGAAGCGCTGATAGATGCCAAATGAGAGGGAGACCTGCCTGCAAAAAAAAAAAAATCAGTATTCATTAAGCCAAAGGCTGGCCGAATTCAGTCCCATTATGTAAGATTTCCACCGGGATATAACAAGCACCCTCCACATCAACTGTCTTGACCTATTACAAGCAGACGGAATGGAAGATTTTTTTACACCGGGTGCACTATCCAGAATTGCGGTGCGCTGCAATTGATTATATGGGGACAAAATTTTTCAAGGAGCTGTATGATACTATGACTACAGATTTATAGCTGCAATGAAAAGAAATACCTGGAGGAAAATTTGCTGATTTTTAAACAGAAATAGTAAATTACTTGTAACTGCCATTTATAAGCAAAGGTGCCACCTACCGTATCCCCTCTCCCATGTATTGGCTTTTCACTTAGCTACCTTTGTAGGTTGGTTGGAAAGTGACCTCACATGAAGTCTGATTACATTACATCCTTCAACATGTGAGGTACTACCAGCATACATTGATATCATAGTACCATTGATGCCTTGCCGTGTTGTCACAAGATCTGATATAAATCTCATCACATTTTGTGCAGTAATGAGAGGCCAATCATACATAATCTAGACATACAGGCCTCCCTCCACCTATGTCTTTGTTTAATACTCTCCACATCACTACTAAGGAAAGCTAAAAGCAGGAACAAATGGCATTTACATGTATAACAAAACTTCTAGGACAGATCTTGCAATACATTTCAATCTGCAAAATCATCGTCATGAAAGAGTGGTGAACAAAAAAAAATTATAATAGTAATTTTTTATTTATATCACTATTACCTAAAATAAAGCTTTCCTGCTAACTGAAAAGGACTTCTAATCCATCTGCTGTAACAGTTAATACTACATAATCTACCCTAAGCCCGCTATTGGAAAATGAAAGCATAATACAAGAACATACATGTAGAGTGTATTATATGCATGCATGCTGCAGAATAACGTAAATGATCATGGGCAGGAAAGCCATGTAAACACTGTTAATCATATGACTTGGGGTTCAGAGTTCAACAGGCTTGTTTACCAGCCTCACTAGATTTCAGTGTCCAGTTACCAGAGAGCTTCTCCACCACAAAGCCAGAAGGTCATGAAAGGAGCTTTCAGGAGCTTTGGAAGGTTAGGACCAGGAATGTAAACAAAGATGAGATGAAATATTTCCTGTTGCTCCAGCATGGAAATTATGAAAATAGAGGATGGCAAAATATAAATCCAGGGAGGGTGCTTTTATATGGACAGGAAAAGGAAAGATTTAGTATAAACCTCCATAAAAAAGCTTTTAGTACTTATGATACTACATCAACAATTCAATAAGTCCTGATTTTTCCTTGCCAATAACGACAAAGGCCAAAACTTAATGTAAATGATCATCAACATTGAGGTCATGTGCATCATGCCAAGCAGATTTCAATTACATCGTTTTTCATGATCTAGTAATTACCCTTAGAATTGACTCCTTCAAAACAGAGCAGAGCAACAACAATAAAAGTACAGGAGTGGTGAGCAATTAAGCCCTCGAAAGCTATACAAAAAAAATGGTCTGGTAAACTGAAAAGAGCTCTTGTAAAAAACAATAATATAATTTATTTATATCACATTGAAAAAATTGCACTTGTACAAGACAGAATCCTAAAGCAGCTTCCGCAAATAGAAAACTATGTTTACACTGGTATAGAGACGGTAAAAACAATGCACAATTGCATGTAAAATTTAATTCAGTAGATTATAGACATTGATTGGTTTTTATACAATTTCCATTTTGCGGTTTCTTTCTACGAGGTCTTCCATCAAGTCTGCAATGAAGCATCCCTTCACTTGTCTTGCCACCACGACCCTTAATACCCTTGATCGAGCACCAGTTTGTCTCAGATAGCCCACAAATGAATTATTCATTCATATTTCCCAGCCAGCCAGCCCTCCCTCATACAGTGCAACTCCATCTCTATCACTCCCTCTGTAGCATGCTTCACTAACGAGGCTCTGATTGCAACAGTCAACCTGTTCCTCAGGAGAGAGAGAGAGACAAGGGGAGAGAGAAGTTTGGATGCGACAACGCTTTTAGGTTTTACTCCATTAGTTGTGATGCACTCTGCATGTTATTGATACATGTATATAATCTGCTTCATCTCCCATAGATCATGCACAGAAATATTCTCTCTAACTTTGGTTCAAGCCAGGCACAAGCAAGGTGCTGGTCAAGGTTACACAGCATTTTGGTGCTTTATCACCATGACAATATCTCTTGTAATCCTGACAAGAACAATATCAAGTGAACTTCTTTTTCACATTAACAAGCTATAAATATCTGTTTCCCCAAAAATAAGACAATGAAGAATGTCTGTGATGCTTAAAAATATACATTAAACTGAACTTCTTTTGAATATATAAATCATTATATTTTCATTGACATAAATTCCTCTATGCACTGGCTCACATGCAATGGCTATGATCACTGTTTTGGTTCAGGTTATATCTGAGCACAACAGGAGATATAATAAGAATCAACACTTAACGTCATCGTACATTTCCTCTAGAATGTGTATATGTATAAATCACATCCAAACTAATTGCCTGAAGTGTATCTAGCATTGCCTTCCACATATACATGAGTACACTTGTGAAAATGAGCACACTATGCATGATGGAAATGAATTTAATGAACAGACAAGGTGGCAAACCAAAACCAAATAGTATAATAGAATTAATTTATGATAGTCGTACGGATAATCAATTAGTATTAGTAGTTTCATTTCGATGTAGTGCCTAATCATATCTTTGTATCCAATTTTACTTGTTAGTCTTTGTATGCCACGGGTAAAATCACTTGTACAGAAGGCTGAAAAGCAATTAGATCATGAGTGCGAGCCAATAATAACATTACAATAGCCACATTTGTATGGCGCCTAATAGTACAATGTTTGTAAGCACTTCACATCGTAATCATCATTACTCGGTTATTGGATTCAATTTCTAATCCGCACATGATAGTGCACACGCCCCACTCCCTGGGGATTATTCCATCCAGGCACCATTTTACAAGCACACAAATGCCAATCCAACCACCTTAATGTTCGCATCCTACCAGGTACCCATTTAACACCTGGGTGGAGAGTGGCAAATGTAGATCAATGTCTTGCCTGAGGACTTTAGTGCCGCACTCTGGGACTGAAACTGTGAACCATGTGACACTATGAACATGACTGACAAAGAAAGTGGACAAAATATACAGTTCCCTTCACTGCTATTATGTAAAAATGTGTAGAACAGGTGTCACATGCATATTCACCTATTTACATAATAGCAGTGAAGGGATGTTCCTTTGTCTACCTGAGGAGCTGTATATTTTGTCCGCTTTCTTTGTCTGTCATATTCATAGTGTGATCCACAGTCTGGTGGCATACATGTATCCACCAGAGCACAACATCTCTACAGAAATGGCTTTGGCCTGAGATGGGTGGGAAATGCATTAACCCTAGGCCAGGGATTGCAGCATCAATGTGATATATATCCTCGAGCTCAATCAACCTACTTTGACTCTACATAGGGAAGTATATGGTGTACCCTTCCACACGGGGTCTCTCCTCAGGAAGGATTATGAAAGCAGAATATCACTGAAATTAATAGGCCTTTTTTTCATGCACTAAAGAGTATTTTGTCTTGCTGTCAAGCAAGAGTAATGCATGTAATGTTGATTTTGACTGATATTAAAGTAGCTTTGCTATTTATCAATAATTGACACATTTTTTCAGTCAATGATTACATGGTTGGATACTGATTGCTAAAAATCATTGCTTTATAAATCAACCATACCATCCCAAATTATGGCTCCAGTTGAGTACCCAAGCAAGAAATTGTTATTTCAAATATTGTACATTTGCAGAGAGTAATACCTTTCCAGAATAATACTTAATTCCCATCATTTACAGGATTGATAGCAATCACACAAACAAGATGGTCTTCTGTGGAAAAAGAAAGCAACATAAGATTGCACATTTCCATGAATTTTGTAGATCCTGGTGTGCCACAATCTGAAAACCCAACCAGGAAGCTTGGCTACACCATGAATCACAAATTTTCTGCATTTCATCACGTCACAGTTCATTGACCACATCTTGGAAACCACTTCAGAACAATGGACAATGAATGGCGATAATAACTCAACCTCCATTGTTAAAAACCTGACTTTTACAACCAAGTTGTTTACTTCCATAAACACTGTGAGGACTGCGAGCATAGCGCTACATTGGTTTTGTACAATAGGAGATGCTATGGTGTTGGATACTGCGGTATATGAAAGAAAAAGTAACTTGTTTGTGTTGCAAGTGTGGTGGATGCATGTGGGTATAGGATCTAAAATGGGTGGCTTGTTTTTGGCTGTAGTATTAGATATCATACCACAAAAAAAAAAATGGAAGTATTACAGTTTCCATCCCTCATAACAATTCAATGGCTGGAATCATAAAAAGGGGCCTTTTGAGTATTGTTGACATGAATATTTGAGAGCATGATATTCTACTTCAAGTATTAGATTTATCTTGAAAGCTGTAGACAAAGATATTCTTTAAATTTGGAACACTCTGAACCCCTATGGCCTAGAATTTCTTTTCAGGACGGATTGGGGATTTTACTCTCTCCCTAGTGCCACTCCTGAGAGATTTTAAATCTGGATCTACGTCTTTCTCCTCGGTTAGGATATAAGTTGGTAACAGCCTGATTTTGAAATTGATACGGTGCACAGAGGCACAGAAGATTAGTTTAGAAACGTCATAAAAGGGAATTATTGGGGGTGCATTCAATATAAGGGATATATGTGCAAAGGCATTCACTTCACCTCAAATTTAATTAAAATGGTGAAACCAAATATCATAGGGTTAGTTCTTAGAAACTAAACCAGAGTAAATACGGAGCGTTAGATTTCATACAATAAGTCAGTGAAGCAGTGCTCAACAGCCATGGAACCTTGAAGACTTACATGTACACTTCAGGTTTGGGTAACTGTTT